AATGTGCTGAAGCTGTTCTCCTGCGCTTTTCTTCCAATTAGGCCAAAAATCGGTCGCTCGGCGGCGATCTTTGCTTCTGAGTGGCAGGAGCTCCGCTTTGCCCTTCCGAAACCTGAGGTGTCTGGCCCCCCACGCTGCCGTCGCGGGTGGGTTCCGGCCAGTTGGGAGCGGGTCACCCGCGGTGGTCGCAGCTGTCGACATGGGCGCCTGGTTGACCGACCCCTTTCCAACTCACTTACAGTCACATCGCGCCGGCGAAGTGAAGGTGGTAATGGTACTGGTTCTTGGGGCTTGACCTCTACGCCAGCTAGCTTTCAGACTATCACCCATACGAGGAGTCAATGGCCGAAACCCAAGTGCAGTAGGGAGAAACGGGTTGTTTCGATCCGCAGTCTGAGAACAACTACCTGAACCAAGCTGCTGAAGAGAAACACTTGCAACATCCCCCCCTCCAGCAGGGTATCTCTTGACACTGCCAAATGATTCACCATTTAACACCAACATCTGGTGGAAGGGCCAGGTAGCAGTCAGGTCGTTACCCCTCAGCGTGGCATGCCTGCGATTGATTATATGAGGTTTCCTAGGGCGAACCACTCGGGAGAGCCACCAAACGCCCGTATTTTGGGCCAAACTTCCGATCAACACACGGTAGCTGTATTTAGATCAAGTACCGCGACTTGGCCTTCTTTTCAACCAACATGTTTTTATAAGGAGTGAATTCACCCAGGGTGTTTTGTTGGTAACCCACTTCCCCATCTCTTTGGAAACTAACTGTTCCACTTCCACCTCACCTGTCTTCCTTCCACGCTTGGAACTTGCTGGCCGTGTCAAAATCCTAGCTCCTTGCAAACCTTCGAGTCTGTCCCACAAATTGTCCCCAACAATGTTTTGAGAGAACCTCATCTCACTGGCCGGTGTTTGTTCAAAACTTCTTCATGGATTCATGAAGTATATGAAACGTGTGAAACTATACCAGGACACCCTACAAGTAAGGGGTGTCCATTGAAAACCCCTGTTCGAGGTGATATATAACGTATATATATATATATATGCGGGGTGTCCATTAAAAGCCACCCCAACTCCCGTGGGTCCTAGTACTGGATCATCCCACTGGCCGCCTTCGTTTGGTGCGTTCCCAAGGCGCCAAAGCTTCGGCTCATCCTTCCGCAGCTGCAGCCCGCGGTGCGCGTAGCGCTTGGCCTTCCCTGCCGAAAGAATGGCGCTTTTCGCACATGACGTGACGTGGCCCTTACTTGCAGCAGCTCTTGTTATCGAAACACAACAAGGAGCCGCTCTGCGTTTTCTTCCAAACCATACGGAAGATGGTGTTATCAAAAAAACAGCCGCCGGCCGCTCTGTGTTTTTCCCACCTGTTCTCTGTGTTCTTTTTTCCAAACCCGAGCAGCACGGGATGTCCATTTGGAGTTGGTGCGTGGACCTCTGGGAGTTGGGGAATAGGAGCTCCCCAACGGGGCAATGTACGATCATACAGACGTCTCCGGCAACCTCACACGGGGCACACTATTTTCATGGGCTCTGGGTCAATGTATGCCCTAGAAAGCCCAAGGCATTTAGCTCAGTCATCCAGAAAAAGAATTGAAATGGCAACAAAAAGGTTGAAGAGATCACCTTGTATCGCCTTCTGAATCCTTCTCGAACTCATTTCCACCACAAACGCAAATGGAAGCCTATAGTACATACGTAAATGCATGTACACAACTATCAACTATCCCTTGGCATAGCTCTCCCAACACGTGGACCAGGCAGCGGCCTACGGCGGGGCTAGGAACCTGTCTTGCTCAATATATGATAAGTGGATCAAACATGTGTTGGGTGACCACAGGCTTCTGCCAACTCCTGGAGGGCCATCTGAAAGTGCAGCAACTTCTCCCCATAGCCTCCCTATTGTGGGTGGCCGGCTGGCCTGGGCCGGATGGCCGGGTGCTCTCCTCCACTCCCAGTGCAGGCTGTTCCGGCCTGCGTAGCCCTCAACACTGGGCTCCTGGCCCGTTTCTTCCAGCGCAGCCAGGGAGGCAGCGGCCAAGTTGCTCAAACCTCAGTTGTGCAGCACGGAGCTCGTCTCCTGGTCTTTACATGGGGCTGATGCAAGTGTGCGGCTCATGGGAAGTGGAGCCATAAAATGGAGTGAAGTATTGTCACTTAGTCCATGACTTAAGACTGCCAAATCCAAAACTGACGTATTGTGCTTCACATGGATGGCACTTGGCACAGTGCGTTTTGGATTGGACATCATTTTGCAAGAGAGTTCTGCCTCAAAGACCTAAAACAGCATTGAACATCAACCAACCATTGGATGGAAAAGAATCCTCTCTCCACCGAAGCATGCCCCTTTTAACGCAATAGAATGCCTGTCTTCTTGCCTTCTGGGCTGTGCACACCAAAGCCATCCCCCAAAAACCGTTCCAACCCTTTTAGCGGCCACGTGGCAGCGCAGGCGTTCCGCATGCACCTCCTGCAGATCGGGCAGCTCTCGCTCTTCCTCGCTGTCCTCTTGAAAGTCCTGGAGATTCAGTTCGGCACTCTGCTTGTGCCTTTGCCCACCCAAAATCGGTTGGCACTGTGCACTCTATTTTGTTACTGTATATATAGTTCTGCCTTCGTTCTGTGCTTTTTAGCCCGCCCAACATAATTATCATGGCATGGACTTTTTAACTGGAGAGGATCCTGACATCAGGGAGGCATCTACGCAGCATTCGATTTGCGTATTGAACGCCATGGGAACACTAACAATGAAAGGCAAATACAGTAGGTCCCCAGTCCACGGCGGGTTTGGTGGTTCACTTGCTTTTGCAGTGTATCTCTGTCACTTTCCCCAGAAGCTGACGGAGTGTTGCCTAAGCTTCACTTCGACGAGCACTTCCAGTTGAGTAGAATCTACAGCAATAGAAACATCAGGAGTTTAACAGTTTCTCCCCAGCAAGTGGCGCGAAAGGCCGTTCCTGGCCGTTCCACCAACAGGATCCAACAGAATCCGACCCTCAGCCTCTTCAAACTCCACCATGAAGAGCGCCTTCTTGTAGAGCTCAAACGCCTTGAAAGGTCGCTCCCCGAGAACCAAAACGGGCCCCCTTGTGGGTTCCCCAGTGGCTCACGGCTCACGTCAGTCATCCCAAAATCCACTGCTGAAGCCGCATATCTCGTTCTGACCATCGTTGCCAATGAGGGGCATATGAGAGATCAACTGCAGCATGAGGATGACTCCATTGACCCCACATCTGCCAAAAATACACTCGAATACACTTGTCTAGATAGAGACTATAGTGAACATCCTTAAATCTCTGCATCAGCAAATTCCTGGCAGAAAAAGAAACAACACACTTTCCCATGACACGCTCCGTTGCAGTTCACCACGGTTTGGCAGTTCGACACATCGCCACCTCGCCTCCACGGGCCGTTGCGCGCGCATCTCCACGTTGCCCAGCTCGCGGCGGTGCTGCGCCACCAGCAGCTGCTCCTGAGCCAACGAACTGAAGGGTGGAAGCGAGCGTTTTCCGAGAGAAGACGCATGGCCTGCAATGGTCTTTGGGATGTCTTTGGTACATTTGCAGTATAAGATGTATAAGTCAATAGCCTTAAGCTGCTATGGTAGATGTTGGATGGGGTCTCAGGCCATTTTTGCGCTGGAAATGGCAATGCCCCCACTCCGGCCCATGCATTTTTTCTTGTCCAGTCCAGCTTTCGCATGTGTTGCAACTCAGGTTTTGAACGCGTTCCAAGAGGTTCCAAGAGGTTCCAATGCGTTCCGTCGAGGTGAGGTGCCAAGGCGTTCCGTCTTCCCTGGAGGGTAAGCAATTCCCACAAGACTTCGCCATTTTTCAGGTGATCCAGGCTTGGATTTTCTTGGAATACCTTAGCCAACCATCATGAAGACCTGGCCCCCGCGCCAGGTCCCCCACTCCCTGCAAGAACCAGGGCACTGTCGGCTTTAGCTCCCACTTCTCCCGCGCCGCCAGGGCCGCTGCTGCGGCGGGCGCCACCACGTCCGGTGCCGTGTCACACATGGTGGGCGCGCGGATGGTGAGATCGAGACTTCGGATGGTGATCGGATGGCACCCTAACAGTTCTAGACCAAACAGTAAGACATGTGTTTGACTTACTCCCAGCTGAACGGTCTGGCCGGTAGCAGCAAGACTAAACGTGTAAGACAACACACTTGTATAATGAAACAACTGTCTTTGATCTATTTTTGTTGGAGTGCTCCCCTGGTAGTCAATTGAACATGAACATAGAGTCAAACACTGTATAGTCAAAGGTTTAGACATAGGCCCCAAAACTGTGGTGTCACTAGTGAACTGGACAAATGAGTCCTCATCATAAGGTCCCTCAGACCCAAACCCCAGCATTCCCAACAGTACCAACCTGCTTCGCATATCGAAATTCATATTAATATCTTTTGCCCATTCTCAGTCACCGGACATTGTACTGGTTCAACATTCAGCCAAGGTTTGTGTTGATGTACCTCATGCCTCAAAGGCTCCCCCAAATTCTCACTGCTACTGGCGTGGCGTGCATACATATGAGGACTGAAGCGAGTCTCCACTGTCAACGCATGAGCAAGAAGTCGCAGTTCGCTGCGGTGCTTCGCACCAGCGAAGTTGACATACAATGCCAATAGCAGGTTGGACCTGGGGGCCTTGTGACAGCATCTCCAATCATTCCATATAGAAAGAGGACTGGGCCAGGGGGTCAACCTGTGCTGAAACACAAAAAGCACAGGACCTACAAGTAGCAACACGGACACTGGACCTCATCGAAGGGCTAATCAGCTGCGTTTCCCTTCAAGAAAATAGCAGCAACCTCAGCAACCTATCATCCAACATGACACATGCAGTTACTGTTTCAGAAGAACTACATCCTCTTCCCACGATCCACCAACTGCTCTCCATCTTAACTCAACAAAAAGCGCAACCCTGCTTCATCTGCATCTCATGTTCATCCACTCTTTGACAAAGAATTGAAAGGAACCATGACATGTTCATTCAAGATTCCTTGACAAGAACCGAGCACTTCGACTTCAACTCTTTGACTTCGACTTTTATCGACTCTTTGACTGGTAGCAGCAGCTGGGAGAGCAATTCCTTTCCAGAACCATCCTCTCCCAAGATGGCGCTCTGCAGCACCGTCAACGCCTGCCCAGACACGCGCGCGTGAACCAGCTGCCAGCTGCTCCGTTCTTGACATCTTTAGGCTGAATTATGCCAATGGATCTGCCAGGACCTTCAAAGTGACCTTTTGAGATCCTAGAATGAGGTCACTTAGTCCCTAAAGAGGTCACTTAGAGACTCCAAAGAGGTCACTTTGAAGGTCCTGGTGGATGGATTCAAAAATCCACTAGTATGCCTCTGGTTGGGGTGTTTGCACCGAGTAGCTTCAGTGGCATTCCCTTCAGTAAATGGATTACGTTTAGGACGACTACTACGAAGGGGAGCTTCTGGAGAAAAAAGAATTGCCAAAGCTCTCTTGCCGACAGTGGTGCCAAGTTAGTGTAACTGGGTCTTGCTTGGAAACCTTTAAAAAAAACAATCTTTTCAACCAAGGGCACCACAACAGAACGTATATACTGTAATCACAGAATCCCCTCCTCACTCGGGAGTTTTGGGAGCTTGATTCTGCAGTAGAGTCAGTAGAGTAGTGTGTAGATCTGTGAGTTGGCATCCCTTCTAATAGCTTGATGAATCTGAACTGCTAGATATGGACCTGCACGAACGAGCCTCACCTCACCTGCCACACAAAAAAATGCTCTCTGCTTGGGAGGTGTCAAGGGTGCGGAGGCCAAGTTGGAACCAACAAACAAAGTCAGTCAACCAACGCAAACAACCACCAGATTGCATTGTCAAAGGATTGGTCTTTCAAACATAGCCGTCCCCTAAGAGGCAATTCAGCTCCGGGCACCGCTCACAAAAAATTGAGCGACAAAGACCAAACATAGCCCCTTCAACATCTACCATTTTGCAAACTGCTTTGGAAGAAGAAGCAGCCTAAAGAGAAAAAAACAAGAACAGGAAAGAAATCTAATCAGAATAGACAACAAGCAATGGGAAGCAATAAGAAGCAGCCTCAAGATTAAAAAATGAATAAAGAAGAATAGGAAAAAAAATAAGAAGACAAGGAAGCACGATAAGCAAGCAATAAGTTATAAGAAGCAGCCTGAAGAAACAAAAGGAAGAAGAACGGGAAGAATTAAGACAAGAAACAATAAGAAGCAATAAGAAGCAAGCACCCTTCACCACCCTAGATCGACCCATCACCCACGTGGCTTCGCATGAAAGGCCAGGCCACTGAGAAGGGTCCACAGCGCAACCGCGCGCGTGAGGAGGACGTCGACGAGGACGGGGCGTGGTGCCAGGGGTTGGAGGTGGAGAGGAAGCACAGGAGGACCATGCCTTGGGAGAATTGCCATTCTTTGTCACCCTTGTGTTTTAGGATGTGTTTGTTTTAGTGGGTGACTTCAACATGAGGTAACTTACCACACTCCTCAACCAACTTCTAGGTTCGATACTACCAATCTGCCGGGTGGAGAAGTTACCATCCACCATTGGAATGGTCCGACAACGGTAGGGAACGACATAGTTTCAATGATGCGGGGGGGCCAAAGGCTCATCAAAGCTCAATAGATTCCAAAGGAATCCTCCACCACATGCATGTTCTATTCTCCTACAACCTCTTCGAACTCTGCTAGGTCCCTCAATTAAATCCCTTCCCAGCGATATGCTGGACGCCCTCTTCGACCAAGCGGCAGCTGGGAGGGCGATCGTCTTCTGGAAACTCTGGGCGCCACAAGGCCTAGCAGCAAAAAAACAACCAGAACGATCCAGAACGACCAAACGAATTGCTACCAGGGAGTTGCTGAGGGGCCCGAGGGTGGTCATGGAGGGGAGCTGTCGTAGGGGAGTTTTAATGTCTGTGTGTAGTTCAATACGTCAAAAATCACAACAAAATCAACGACACGTCCCTATAGACATACCTTGGAGATATATATATATAATTACATTCGCATTTCAGCCATATCTCAGACCCACTACCCCAGCTGGACCCGCCGTTTCAACGCTGCTGGACCCGCTTCATACCTTGAGCTGCTGGACCCGAAGCCGCCCGATCAATTCCTCCGGTACTAAAAGGCGCCTCGAGAAGATCTTCGGCCAGCTCCCGTGCACAGCCTGGAGGCTCCTGAGACGAACCAACACAACAGAACACCACCGTTCTGAGTGAAGCAGGTGTGAAGATTCAGGCGTCAGAGTCTGCCTTTTACACAGGAGGCGGGAGGTATGCCTTTGATGGATTTGCATGTTGCATACTTGGTGCCTAGAGAGAGCCCGCATGGAGGGTATGGAGAAGAGTAGGAGGATACATATATACATATAAGCTGATAAAAGCCAACAGCTACAAGCAACAAAATGTTTCGCTCCCATGCTAGGACATTGCAACAAGACATGGGGAAAGACTTCACATGTCCATCGGAGAGAAACAAGCCACCATGTCCTTATCAAGTAATTAATGAATGAACTCAGTAACGTCGATACTATAAGGATCTATAAGAGCCTATACTATAAGGATCTATATACTTACTCATCTCATGCAACCCTACCAGTCTTGACCCTCCACGCATTCGATGTCGGGCCTCAAGGGCACTGGGATCATGATCCAAATGCAACTCCACCACCGCGTCGCTCCTGAACAGCACCGCAGTGGTTTGCGTGATGATGATCGATGGAGAATCCAAATGATCTGGCCATCCCACCATCCCTTTTTTAAAGCCATTTAAGGCCCAAGACTTTGTGGGAAGAAATTGCAGAACGAGGTGGGATGGAGTATGGCAAAAGCCACCAGAAGACACGGTTGAGCTCCTGTACAGCAAGTTCGGGCCATCATCATCAATCAGCTGGACCTGGAGCAAGGAAGGAGGTCCGCCAATGCCCGGTGCTTCCGGGGGGTGGTGTGAGACTGGACAGCGCAGGTGCCAATGGCGGTGGTCTCGGGTTGGCTTTTCATTGGTGGCCTGGATCCCTCAAAGCAGCTCCTATCAGCTCCTAATCCAAATGAGTCCAGCGCATCATAAGGCAAACAAGGCATCTCAGAAATCCGAGTTCTCACCAACACCAAACCGCCAGTTCTCCAATGTTCTCCGAGGTCTGAACACAGAAACAGCACGGACTTCCCAAATGTCTTGAGTCGCTGCAGCTGGCCACAAGCCATCATCCTAGTCTTTGGTGGTCGAACTAAATTCAAATTGGCTGCACAGGGGTGCACAGGGGTTTGAGGTAGGAAACCTGTTTGAGGAAGTGCTTGGGGCCAGTGACAGGGATCAATTGTGGAGATGGTCCTGATTTCGTGTGAATTCCTGCTCACTCAAACCGCCAAATGAATCAATACAGTCTCTGGCGCGGAATCCATCCCATAATCCATACTGCTTTCGGCATGGAATCAGTCCCCCTAAACTCTCCACCAAAGTGTTTTACATGTTTCTTGTTCATTCCTTTCCATGACGCCTTTCCTCTGCGTTCCCAGCTTCGTCCGGGCGCACCCTCCGGGCTGCCCTCACGGCCACTGCGTGACGCCCTAGACGACGTTCACTCTGCAGGGCGTCCTCCACCAGCTGCTGAAGCTCCTAGGAAGTCGGTCGGTATGAGCTTTGTAGCGGTTCTTGACCATCCAAACCACCGGGTCGGGGTCCACAGAACGCAAGGAATGGGCGATGTGTGTTGTTCGTATCTTTTTTTCCAATGGTTGGACTTCACAGTGGGCACACCAGTTGCTCATTATGGCAACATCTATGCACCTCCCCCTCCCTCCCACTCCGCCGACTAGTCTCCCTCCCACTCCGCCAGTCCCGCAGGATGTGGTACTCCATCTGCCGCTTCATGCGAAAGCGTCCTTTGAATCGCCGGTTGACCGTGACCACGGCGTCACGAAAGGCCTCGGTGGTCGTGGTCGGCGTAGCCTCGACGAAGGTGGTGGAGGGTGTGATTCACCTGGAAATGCCAAGCACAGCTGATGGTAGCGTTCTGGCAAGCCTTCCAAGCAAGCTGTTGGATGAACTGACCGGCTTCAGACCACCTCCTTACAACCCCAACCAAGTGCGGAATCCAGCATTGGTCTAGTCGAAGAACTGAGCAGTCCATCCAAACCCCCACCATGCAGCACACCATACCCAACTCCATGTTGTAAAAATCGTGACAGCTGGATTTTCATGTGCCCTCCTGCACCCGAATCCTCTGGATGTCCGGACAAAGGAAAGCCGGCAGCGATCCCAAGCATGATGCGCCCGCCAAAGGCCTTGGAAGAAGACTTGGCATCCACTGGATAGACCTAAGATTGTATATCCAGACGTTCCCAGACCATCCATGGAACTGGAATAGTTGCACCACCATGGATGGGTCCTTTTCAATCAATGTAAGGTCCCCTTTTAGTCTCATGCAGTGCTCTGGGTATGCTCTAGATGGTCTCACTCCGCTTGAGTCATGGCATTGACTTCAGGGAGTCGGCTTGCGTCTCAAAAAGCCATGAAACTGTGTAGTGACACCCATGACGCACAAAACGGCACAAAATAGAGTGGACAGTTCAAAGGATGTCTTGGACACCCATTTATGTGATCCCTGTCAATGTCTTGGACATACTAAACCATTGTCTCTGGAAGGAGAGTTCTATGAGTAGCTTGTTTCCTCCCCATTTGCTTTAAAGGTCAATGTCTTGAGGACTCAGATGGGCAAGGCTGCGCCCGTGTGAGTGGAGTCAACAAAAACTCGGTCCAATTGTAAGTGAAGATCCTCCTTGGTATAGCCCAGGTGCTATATATCTGAATATATCTGTGTATTAAAACTGGGAGGCTTCCTAGTTCGACCCCCTGGGAGAAGGGAAAATGGACCAAGACCCATTGGTTGGATTTGGTCGGGAGGTATATACCCCCTATCAAAATACAAACCCACATTTGGCCAAGGGTTCCAACCCGTTGGTCTTTGCTTTTCAGTGGAACTGTTTCAGTGAAACCCCCCTCCGTGAGTGACGAAAACCCGGGAGGCCTGCGATGCAGCAGCGGGCGATGCGGCTGCAGGCGCCTATGGCAGTCCGATGAGCGAAGACATACCAAGACCCAAACTCCCATAATTCCACTGAGGTGAAGGAAACAAACAGAAGTGACATGCACATAGATCATCTGATGCGAGCATCCAAATGTCAGGAGACGCATGGACCACAAATGGATGACCACATTCCGAATTTCACACCTGTGGGTTTCCTCCACTTCCACGATTCGGGACCAGGCAGTGTCAATCCGGGTGTGCAAAGTGTTGCACATGGTGCTCTGATGGTGCTCTGAGGTCTCCAAACCATCTTGAGCTCTTCAAAATCCCGTTCTTTGTGAGCCGTGTGAGCCGTTAAAAGGCTAAACTGTTGGGTCTAATACAGCCTATTCAATGGTTACCTGAATTATTAATAATAGACCTCGACTCTACTCAAAAGGTGCTTTCTTTGGCCGTTTGTCCAACTCCCCCCTCACCAAAAAAACCTATACAAACACTATCAAGCACTCTATACGTCTCTCTCCGCGCATCCCCGATGCGATCTTTCGTCCATCCCCGTTGGATCGCCCCTCCCTCCCGCCTGCAAAGGGGCTGCAGGGATCCGGTGTCAAGTCCTCCAGCCTCGAGCCGTCCGCGCACGGCGAGTCCGTTCAAGGCGGCGGAGTGAGACGGAGATGTTGAAACCCACGCGGTGGGGGGCAGTGACGTGCCAAAGAGATGAGATATATACAAATTATAGTGGTAGATAGAGTTGTAGCTGAAACCATGTTAAGCTGAGATGGTTTTATACTGTGTTGGATCTTTTGGGTGCCAAGAAAAGAGGAGGGTGTGGTTGATGCACAAAATCACTGAACTACTTTAGTGACTTTCCTGGAACAGGCATAACACTTCGATGCCTTTTTGGTCAACATCAGCATTCCGTAGCCTGTCAAGAGAACATAGGGAGCCGTTCTTTGAAGCTCCCTCATTTTCATGGGCCTTCTCTTGGGCTCACTGCGCTCACTCTCACTATAAGGGGCTTCAACATGCTTCAACCAGCTCTCAGTCAATTCCTCACCCACAGCATCGATCGTTTTTTCTCCACTTCCCGTCCTCATGTCTGCCGGCAGCACGAAGTGCAGCAACGGCCCATCCCGCGCGAAGAGACCTCCCGGTCGACCTGGGCGCAGCTCCGTCTTTCGACCGCGGGGCCCGGCGCTGCACGTGGTGCCGGACTCCCAAGAGGGCCTCCAAAACCCCTAAGGGTTTTCGTGTGGTTTTTCTCGATGCCACAGCTGCGCAGGTGCAGCTCCCTATTTCGGAAGGGTGCCTTCATCTTCCTGAACCTCCGGTGCTCTCTTTCAGACAGCTTCATCCGTTGATCGATTTCGATTGAAAGTCGAAACGAGATCCACGGAGCCGGCACCTTTCTGGGCCACCTTTCATGGTTTAATGCCATGTTGATCCATTCGAGCATATTCGAGCGAGATCTCCGAAACAGCACGTGTGTCACCTCCATCCCGGTTTCCCGGACGCGTTCCGCGGCCTACCGCGGCCAAGGCACTGCGAGGGCAAGGCCAGCCCAGGGCAGAGGTGAATTGCTCCTGAAGACCGGAGCTAGGCCACCACCACGGCCCTGATCGTCTGCTTGTGAAGAGGAGGTGGATGGATCTTTAGAAGTATATAGCTCTGACCTGTCAACAAACAAATAGGCTGGAGCAGTCATATTAGTAATGCGTGCTTTTCCTGGAGATTGAATATATAGGTCAGAGTCTGGAACTAGGTCTGGATGAGCACAGGCATGAAACATATTCTTACTTTTATGACGGTGTGAGGCCGACTGCAATCAACATGCTGTAACTATAATGCCCTATACAGCACAATGCCTTTTGTGCATTTGCAAGCACAGGTCATATAAACAACTCAGGTGCTTGAAGGGGGTCCCCTAAAATGGGGGGACCTGCAAAAATGGAAACCTGGGAAGAGCTTCAAAACCGAAAAGCCGCCTAGGAAAGTGTGTATAAAATCCTTGATCACATCAAAAAAAAACATTAATTAATCCATGTATGAATCCTCTATTCATTTATTAATCCTAAGAAAACCTCCAGATCGAAGGCTTTTCCTCTTCCCTTTACAAAAACCCTTTCTTCAAAAAAGCAATTCTTCGTTCGACTAACAACCAAAGCTGGTGGAAACGCGAAGGAAAACATGCCGGTGTAAAGGCGGCGTGTCATGGTGGACAAACAGGGTGGACAATGGTGGACAGTTAGGGTCGCTTTTAGGAATGACATTTTAGGACTGTCCAAAAATCGGCAATGTTGGTAGTGTAGTAGCGGTGTCAAAGGGTGGCAAGTAAGAAACAACACTATTACAGAAACAAACAATATTTATGGGTTTCCGACATGGGTGTTTTGTTTAATTGGGAAGTGTTTTTTTGATAGGTATATACTTGAGATTACTGCCCCATCTTCGGCTATCTTCTTGGACTTGGAAATTGCTATCCACGAGCATCACACTCATCCGAGAGGAGCGATTCCAGCCCGAACCTCCTCCTGCGGCCAGCTCAGTGCTGGTAACAGTTGGCCAAAGCCATGAAGAACCTGCTATGCGTTGCTGAGCGAATTGTCAACACGTTCCTCAGGTTATGCAAAGACATTGGAAAGCATGCAGTTGAAAACATGCAGTTGTGGAGGTTTGAGGAAGCCTTGTGATGGTCAAAATCCCAGACGCAGGGCATATTGCCCAGTTTCCTCCGATGCCAGTTATGTGTTTTCCTCTTATACAGTACCCCGGTAAAATAGTATATGTGATATGTGTATAATGTATTAAAATGTTCATTAGGATGACACATACGAGTAAGCCATCATCACCATCTCTCACTCAAAGCCAGCAGAATAGTCCATCCAATCAATAAAGAAGTCACTCAGGTTCCACCCACGAACGACTAGCCGCCCCTTTTTGTTGCTGGCTCGACGCGTGGGAGCAAACTTGCCAGTTTTTTTCTTGGATCCTTTGATCCAGATGCTCGACGGGGGTGAGGTTCTGAGTGCAAAACATCTGCAAAAGCTCAGCATGGAACCAAACTCGATGTCACACACCTAAAGCTCCAAAAACATGATGCCCTGAAGATGACGACCTGCACCTGAGGGCTACAGTCAATGCACATGATGAAGGTTGATTCATTCCGTGTCAGCTACCCCACCCCCAGCCTAAGCATCCTGGAACTGTTGCGTCGCCAGCCTAAGCAGTGCCTATAGTAGGGAAAAGCAGCAGCCAAGTTACGGCTCGGGTCGGCACGTGTGGTCGGCCGCTGCAGCAGCACGATTCTTTGATCGTTCGACGGTGGCCTCAGAGTTTGCAGGTTCTCCGGTAGGGGATGTGGAGGTTGCAAACGAAGAATGCTGAGGTATTCCAATTGTTTGTTCTATATAACATGTTTGCTCAACCCGATTTGAACCTTTTCATGAACGGATCAAGTGACTATATATGGTTATTATCTTCACAAATCACACTCCAAAAAAACAGCAACCACCTGGTCACTAGGACCATAGCACAGCATTTCTGGAATCTGTCAACTGCTGTCATTGGATGCTGATGGCCTGAAACATCCTCCAAGTCGCTCTCACAGTCAGCTCATCCTGAACTACTTCCGCTGCTTCCAGCGCCCGTGGCACTTCTTCCACCCCCAGGTGCTCCGCGCGGCATCCCTTCGCGCGGCAGCGGCCAAATCAAGGGCTGCAACTGAGGATGGGGCGCCAGGCGCGTGACAGGCTCAACACCTTGTCGCCAAGGAAAAGGGAAGGGCAAGGGGTAAACAACTCGGGACCCTAAAATGCACACTGGATGGCCATGTTCTACAAACAAACAGATGGTGTTCCACTTCCATGATAACTTCAGAAAGTGCAATCTGCCAAGGACAATTTCAAACTTTATGACGGTTATATTAAGTCGTTTGATTTGTTGTGGCCTTTGATCCCCACCAAAAAACTGCTTCTTCTAAAAATACATTTATCTACTAATCTATATACTACCTTCTACCGCTTCGACCTTTGACTCCCCAGTGATTTCATGCTTTCCGGCCCTAAAAAAAAGACACACAAACACAAAGACACCCACTTCTTCTTGCCGCCCAGCGCCGCCGTCCCACCGACCCACTGTCTGTTTTGCCTTCCGCTCCGTGCCTTCCGCTCCCCGGGGACGCCGTGCACCGAGGCACAGAGGGCCGAGACCAAGGCGGAGAACTCACTCGGTCCACTACGACGCGACTCTTCGCGGGATCGGTCCTGAGGTCGGTCACTCGGTGGGGGAGGTCACAAGGGAAGCCCCTGTTCGTCTAAAAGAGGGGGTGTGGCAATGTGGACTTTTTAAGGGGCAGTGGGTAAAGTTAAACTCTTGCCTCATGTAGACTCTTGATTCATGAAAACCCCTTGATTTGGATGCGCTCACTTGCGGTCCGTGGACGCTTCTACTTCACCCCTTGCCGCGTATTGCGGCGGGTGTGAGTAGAGTTGGTGAAGCACGAGCGGCTAATGTACAGAACAGAGGCTACGAACCAGGTGGACGGCAGGCTGCGGTACAAAGAAACGGATCAAGAACGAAAGGGCATAGCTCACTGCATGTTCACCAAGACACATTCTCAGGCAGTAACTTAATTATGGACCTAATTATTCGGATGGAGGATATTATCGAATGATGTTTTTCAAAATAGTGCGTTGCGCACGTTTTGCAGGAACTTTTCCTGCTTATCAGGATTAACCTCTTCCCAAGTCGGCCATTCTCTGCAGGGATATTATCAGGGAGGGCCGGCATCGGGATTTCAGTATGAAATGGCGGGTTATGTGGCATATTCAACAGCATTTGTTCGAGAAATTTATATGCAGCGTCCACATTGGGGAGTGTGGGTCTGCGAGACAGACCCCCTTGGTGGTACGCCGTAAATCCAAGTCTCGTCAAACTGGATGTGCCTTGTTTCTTGTATGTGGGTATCAATTTGGTTTTAGAGAATGTCTGAATGTGTTTAACAATCCATCGAAAGTTATCGGCCAGGACACAGACGGATCGTGCTTTAACGGGTAGAAGCTGTACCCGAGTATCGGTATATGGGACAGTCTCTTGTTTATCGTGAGTGCGAATGCGTACTGGCAAAACCCGGTGGGACCATAACATATAAAGGAACACGCCAGTTCAGTCCAGGAGATGCCGTGATCTCGGGTATCATGCGCTTGCGAAGGATCAGGCCATTTAAGGATGGAGCAGTATTCCCACACCATCCGTGCGAGATTGACTCCCCACGGGCAGCACCAGAACACAACACGATGTGGTTCAGGTGGGGGCAAGAAAAAAAGGTTCCTTCGCAACCCATGAGCGGAAAGCGTGGAGTGTGCGAGAGAAAGTAGTGGCTGCAGTGCGTGGGGCGGATCTGTCCGGCACCCCGCTTTCAGGATCGGGTTTGGATTCCAGTTTTTCCATTCGTTGACAAGCGAAGTCAAGTAAACAATGGAAGACTTTGGTCAGGATGGCTTGTTGTTGAGTTCGATGTGTGCGAATTTGCTGGCATAGGGTGGAGAAATCGGGATCGTCGGTCTGTCTAGAGTGGCTTCATCGGCTTCATCGGCACAGGCATTGCCTTGTGCCACAAATCGGCCCGGTTTGTGGCGTCCGCCGGGTTTTGGTGAGATTTGATGTTGTGGGCATGAAATCGGGAGGGGTCAGGGGTCCCACACCTCTATAGTAGGCGCGAGACCAGATCCCAGTGGGCGGTTTTGTCTGGGTGTCGGGAGGCAGTGCCATCTTGAATGCGTTCAATGACATTGATATACATTGATGACATATTGAGAATCAGTGACAAATAGAATGTGATGCGTAAGGGTGACCGCCAACGTGGATTCCACTGCGACGATCATGGCGAAGAGCTCAGAACGGTTGATAGTCTGCAGATGTCTGCAGGCCGGGGCAGTGGCCAGTTGCTACGACTTTATAACACCGCGGGTTACAGCCCAAGCAGCACGTGCAGTGAAGGGATCCCGTGTATCATCACATGAGCCGTCAGTATACAAGGTCATATCGACACTAACAGGCATCAAGGACAGTGTGGACATGGTGGTGTTACGTAAAAACATGGCTTGGCGGGCAAGGTCCACATGCTCGTGGTCTACTGGCAAGGGAAACCCATGGAAACCCCTTGATTTGGATTGCAACACCTCTTCATGTGGGGGGATAAAACATATCAACAGTCTGTTAAAACACTCCCAAGTTTCGAAGAGCTCCATCCGCGCGCTTCCTGCGCCTCGCGCGCGTCCTGCGCCTGCGCCGGAAGCGCTCGCATGTGTGGAGGTCGAGCCCATCAGCTCCCGATCTCTCCAAGGCGTACGGCGTGGGAGCTCGTGGCGCGCGCGGTCCGGCCGTGGCGCGGGCGGTGTTTAAAGAGTTTGGAGAGCCCAACTGGAGCCCAATGGCGAAGATGGAAGTGAAGGGAGACAAAAGTCGATCTAGAAGGCTTTGGTGGTCATGATGCCGTGCCAGCGCGGTAGTAATTAAGGGTGCAAGTATACGTGGGGAAAGGATCCAGGTGTCTTGGCGATCTACCATTTGGGACCAATTGTGTGGTTGCATGAGTTGCCCCCTGACAGTAAGAGCTGAATCCACGGGTGTCAAACGTTGATGGCGAAAACAGAAACATCGGTGGTCAGCTAAGGGAAAATAACTAGTGTTACGACGACAGCGATGCTGCTTGTGCATCAATGCATGTGCATGGCACAGGCCCAACAAAAATTATTCATGTGGACTACAATTGGACTATAGTATATGATACGTCCAGTGCCCAGTCCCCTCTTAAAGTTATGCGTTGATCCCTACTGACTACCTCCCACTGGCAGCATGGCAGTAATTAATATAGAAACGATATCCAAAAATTTGAGATTTTTGAGAGGAGATGTGCTTTTCTATCTCCACATGCTGGTGGCATAAATAACACCCCCCCCATTCCGATCTCCCAGCGACAATGCCCTCCGACACCCGCCTGCAGCCGGGCGATGACCTTTGAGGTGAACTCGCCAACCCAGCCTGACGAGCTGTGGCCACCGTGGGTTGTGGGTTGGGTGGATGGCTCTCCAGTAGCAGTTGAGGTTACTTTCATGCAACCAAAGGACCCTGATCAGGCAAAAGTAGCCATAGAGCTTAAATCTTGCAAGTCTTAAAGGCAGGACATCTGGACATGGGTTTGCAAACGCTTCCTGAAAGGGTACCCTGAAAACACTCCAATCCCACATGTTCCTCCAACTTTGACCTTGTCGCAGCACAAACAGTATCAATGATCCCTATGCCCAGTACTTAACAACACATAACAACACATGTGCTTTCAGCATGGACCATGGACGATCAAAACATCAAATTGACAGGATATTCTGCATACACCAGCGATCTCCTCCAAATATTCAAATCAACTAGTGGTAGCATCCCATCTCGGAAAATCATCGGAGATTAGACTAAGAGAGCTGCACGCTCTGTGGGCCCCATCTTCCCGTGTAAACACAAAGCGCTCTGTAAACTCTAAACCTAAACCTCAACAGTTTGCATGTTCTCGTTGCACGAGAGCTCCATCGCCAAGATATGCCAGAAACGTCCAAAGGGTGCTTGTGGATGCGACCCTAACAGGCGGAGAAACGGCACACCAGAACAGCACTAACAGGACCATAAAGCCAAGTCCCGGCTTTGCTACATCCAAGTGGCCCAAGCTCCGCCGTTGAATCTTCCAGGCAGCCTGGGCCTCTGCATGTGACTGGATGGTGGACATCTACAGCCCCCGGCCAAACTACGTACTGTATACCAGGTATACCGGTCAATGTTATGAGTTCAAACCTTTGTTTCAACTCTTTTTTTGCTCGACGTGTGCAGCATTTCCCAGCAAAACTCCCACCGATGACCAAAGGAAGGTTGGTCTTGACATGCCAAACGGGACCGATCACCACTGCACAAACCCTGCACTCGGACCACAGGCGGTGCATAGTGGGTCACCAGCACTCGGCCCGAGATGGTGCCAGGATCCTGTACAGCAAGGTCGACGCACCGCCTCTAAAGGGCCTAACAAAACATAATCAGGGAGGAGAACTGCGTATCTTACTCATTATACTAGCCGTGAGATTCATGGACTCTTGACATTCTAGAAAGCAACACTATCTTGCACGATCCTGCAGGACTGATCCACCATCTCAGCCCTGTCTTTTGAGGTGGCCGGCGGCTCTACTCCATCCTAGATGCCCTAGCTTGCTGCTCTCAATATCAGACTGAGACAATCCTCTCTTGGCCGCTTCAGCTTGTAACTTTCGGACAATGTTCTTAAAGAGTTTTGTTTTATCAAGCGTCCTGTAAGACCAAACCAATGCACAAAGACTCCAGTCAGAGAGCGAAGAAACCTTGGCCTTGGATCCGATTGCCGCTTCTACTGAGGTCAATAGTTCATTCTGGTGAAGGCCCAACTGTGCACAGGCCCAAACCACGGTGGGCATGCTCAAGCGCAAGTCTTTGCCCTTCAATCGAGGCAGCAGTTGGCTAAAGCGAACAGCGGCGAGCCTCGTAAATTCTAGCACGCTGCTGGCGGATGCAGCAGGCACAAGTCCAGAAACTTGAAGACTCACCAGGCCCCACAAGGAGTTTGCCAAATCCTGAGCAATCATCTCACCTGCCTTGCCAAGGATCTGTGGCAGAATGCCAGCTAAAGCCACGACGATGTCATCAGGCACCACATTCTTCAGCCTGGCCAATGCCCAAAGGCAGTTGGACAACTGTTGAGGATTCAGGTCAACCTTCCTTTGGATCTGCGCAACAAGAGCTGACACCATGTTCAGCACCCGAGGAGCAACCTCCTGCAAGTGTGCTGAAGCCCACAAGCTGTTGGACAACTCTTGTGGTTTCATCTCAGTAGCGATGCTAGGTATCTCTTCAACAAGTGCTGGCAAAATCTTCAGCACATCCGGCGTGGCATCCTTCAATTGTGCTGACGCCCACAAACAATTAGACATCTCTTGTGGTTTCATTGCAAAAGCCTTGTGTGGAATCTCCTCAACAAGTGCTGGCACAATGTTCAGCACATCAGGTGCAACATCCTTCAAGTGCGCTGATGCCCACAAGCAGTTTGACAAGTGTTGAGGAATCATCTCAGCTGCCTTGTCTGGAATCTCTTCAACAAGCTCTTTTACAATATTCAGCACATCAGGCACCACATCCTTCAAGTGCGCTGATGCCCACAAGCTGTTGGACAACTCTTGTGGTTTCATGCCAGAAGCCTTGCTTGGAATCTCTTCAACAAGTACCGGCACAATATCCAGCACATCAGGCGCGACATCCTTCAATTGCGCTGATGCCCACAAACTGTTGGACAACTCTTGTGGTTTCATGTCACAAGCCTTTCCTGGGATCTGAGCAATGAGTGTCGGGACCAGGCTCAGCACTTCAGGTGCAATGCCCTTCAACTGCGCAAATGCCCACAAGCAGTTCGCCAACTCCTGCGCCTTCATGCTGCGGGCCGTGGCTCGAAAAGCTTTCACCAAGGTGGGAAGCAACTGAATGATTGTGGGAGCTGCATCAATCAGCACCGCCAAAGCCCAAAAAACATTGGCAGTTGCTCGCGCATCGACTGTTTTTTTTTGCTTAGCACCTCCTCAACCTTTGCGTGGAGCCTCAGGATTTGGGGGCTCTCTCCACAATCATGTAGTGTGCCCTTCCGATGAAAGGTTGCCAAGCTGTGATATGCCGCTGACGCATGGATGTGGTTGAAGTAAGGAACCTCTACCGCCTCATCCAAGATGCCAAGCAACTCAGCAGCTGCCGGAGCTTCTTTGATTCTAGACGTCAAAATGCGGGCCTCACTCTCATCGTCCTTCCTGCCCGAAGAGGCAGCACGCGACTTGCCACCTCCTGCTGCCTTGAACTTCTTTCCATCAGCCCTTTTACGCGCCAAGCTGCCGAACTTCTCACGCACTCCGACGGTCGTCCGCAGCCCTTCGCTCCTGGCCTGGACCTTTGCGCTTCCACCGGTGTAGCCAAAGGCCTGCGCTGCTTGGACGCTCAGCCACCAGGCCAACAGTGCCGCCACCAAGCCACGAAGGAACGCGTGGCTCCTGCGGCCTGTCGCGGCTGCTAAAGGACGTGAGCTGGACATGGCTCCAGGAGGCGGGTTCAGCTTGTAGAACGTGTGCGTGTTGCTCGTGCAGGGCTCTGGGGTTTTGGATTGGGAAATGCAAGACCTGGACGCCTGGAGGTTTTGATTTAGTCGATGTTCTTCCAAGGTTGTCTTTTTCATTTTCTCAGCCATTTCCACTTGCACTTCATGCGGCTGTCAACTCTGGCGGGCTGTCCGAAGCTTGCTTGAGCTCTTTTTTTTGCCAGGCAGGCAGAGTGCCACATGCCCTCGCAGCATGCACGGTTCCCTCCAAGTTGTATCAAGAACTCTTGGTTGTTTCATTCTCGTGGCGTTGCCCCGAACCAACCGCGCCCCACCAACGATAGCCGTTGAGCAAAGCATGAAACGGCTCGAGGCTCGGGCTGCCGCACCGGTGAAGGCGTCGATCTGCTGCGCGCTCAATGGCTCCCTAGGGGTGTGAGAAAAGGCCGGGTGTTTGGTGGAAAATCTCACACATGGGTCATCAAGGTGGGCGGGGCTCCCATATTCGCGGAGAAACAAAACAACATCGCAAACAAAGAGTGTTGGGGATTCTCAAACACCATGCTCTGGAGGCTGATATTGCAGCAAAATTCATGGACCGAAGCAACACAAGCTAGTCTCACGCACAAAGCTTGTGGTACTTGAAGGGCCTATCGGTTGATGATGGTTGATGAAAGCAATGCACAAACCTTTGCTTTTGATACTCTGCAAATGGGTCCCAGGTCCATAAATCAACAGTCCGCCCAATACATACAAAAAATCCTTTATAACAATTTTCTTTCTTGGCCATAGTTCAATAGTTTCAATAGTTACCTTTGATAGCCTTTAGTCATCATTTGACTCTCACTTGCGACATAGCAAAACCGTACCAAAATAAATACTCAGACCATCTCAAACCCATCACTATAAACCAAGCCTGGGATGTCCTAAACCAAGCCTGACATGTCCATCCCATCCAAAGACAGACCCATCCAGACCCCAGGTAATGTAGACTCTTGATTAACAGTCCTGCCAAATATATACAGGTGTTACAACTTTTACAGTTATTAAATCAAGAGTACAAGCCACCATGTCCTATATACCAAGTAATTAATGAACTCAGTAAAGTCGATACTATAAGGATCTATATTTGCCACGGACTTGTTTTTGGTGTAAATGTCTCGACTAGCCGAGCCTCACTTTGGGTCAATTCCGCAGCCTGATGCTTGTTGGACCTATGGGTTACAAACGGGTATCGGCGGTCCGTGCTTAAAGGAAGGACGGCTAAACAAGAGACACATGAAGCAAATGTATGTTGAAGTCCTGACCCAATCGCTAGTATTCAGTTGACACATCTGCCGGCCTCAATCCCAACAAGAACACCACGCGATGAGGTTCTTCATCAGGGCCTGTCGCTGTGATGTGATGGTGTCCACTAGATGGGTAGAACCATTGGTATCCGAAAAGTCCTCACAAAGCCTCTGCAATCCAACTGGCATAGTATGCAAGAAAAGCAGGTAGTTATAGCTCATTATTGTAGATCTATGTAGATCTGTAGATCCAATTAACAACACTTCATCTGACACCTCCTTGACTCCTTGACAACTGTCCGCTCTGAACGCCTGTGGCACCGGCACGCGCTCGATCCGCGACCGGCAAACAGGGGAAGGTCTCGTCCAAAAGCACCTGAGAGGCACGTGACATGGTTCCGTGGCGAATGATGTTGGTGGAACTTAAGATGCCACAACATGGCTGTGGGTGAAAACCGGGACACCCTGGTTGATCACCCAAAATGACCAGAATACGACCTGGGAGGTTCACCTAGCCTGGTTTGGGGATCCGGGTTTTGATCCTGAGGACTCTCAGAGTTTGTGCCCACAAAAGCATCCGCAAACCTGGTTGAAACAGTAGTACAGGCAAAGTTGATCCTTTTATAATCGTCTGACATCGTGAGAAGAAAGCGTCCATTGATCCATAACATCTTGAATTCATCCAACTAAGATCACCTGTAAAAGCTCCCCTTTTGAACATGTTATAGGATACCAATATAGATTTTACAAGAACATGCTTGACACACTGATTGAAACATATTGAAACAAAAACAATTTGAAGCCACTTACCACCCCACTCACCCGGCTCCGCCAGAGCTGCGCCAAAACGAAACTCACCCATCTAACAAAAATCACCTGGCAAGTCTGTTCCTTTGAAGTTCCTCACATGCCCAGGCCCCAGACTCAAAGATGTGCTTCTCGAAGTGTAGCGTCAAACGATGTGCGTTTCGCACTCAGATCCTCAGACTCATCCTCAGACTCTGATCCGAAACTCTGACTCCGACTCTGATCCAATTTCAAATCCCCAGACCCATCTCCCCAAAAAAAGGATGTGCTTCCCAGGCGCCAAGGCCCCACCCAAAGGCCCCAAAGAGTGCAAGAAGTGCAAGGCCGTGGCTTCGAGGCCTTGCTGTTGGAGGAGGAAAGCACCAGGAGGCCTGGGCCAAAAAAACGGGGGTCGGCACGGGGTCTGTAGACTCAGCGCCTTGCTAAGCTGAATTCCGAATGAATGACGGATGGTAGTCCGGACCTTCCCAGGAATGTCATGAAAAAATGACAAAAAACACAGCTTCATGGAGCTAAAAGACCAGTACTGGTCTGGGAAGTCGCATTCTTCTTCTTCTCCATCGCCCTCTCAAGAGTTTAGCCGTTAGCTAAAGGCGAGTACACAAACCAATGCCAGGAGCAGTTTCTCAGCGGCCAAGCTCGGTGGCTAGCCGCTTCATTTGCACACTCCATGCATCAGGTAATTGAGAAACTTCAGCCACTATACCGGTGTTCTGGGAAGTCGTATGTTTCCACGAATTGCAGTTTGTGGTAAGAACCTTTGTCAATGAGGACTTGTTCTTTGCAGGCTTTCACTAGACAGGGAAGGTGGATTGAGCGTGTTGAATCATTGCCGAAGACATCGGCAAAAGGGAAACACACATGCAAGTGCGCGGTCACAGTTGGTGTGATTGAAGCCGTCAGGTTTGGAAGCAATTACTCCCCTGCAAAGGACCACATGGAACCCCAAAACCACGTCGGGTTCGTATTCGGAAAATGGTCGAAACCACAGGTTGTCCTTCTCAGGTTCCATGGGACCGTTTGCGGGCTTCGTATCTTCGTGACCGTCTCATCACCGCCTGCAACTCCTACAATCTCCACTGACGGCCAGCTACCTACCACCGCAGTACGTATTCATGGGCCATGCCCAAATCTGCATTTGTTCCCAGCTCACTTCCGTCTCCAAGGCCGCCGGCCCAGTTCACTTCAGTTCTCCCTAGGCCTAGGCCTCTCAGTCTGCAAGGGACGCTTGAACGGCCTTATATGCAACTCGTCATAATCTCCCTCTAGACCTGCTCCCTCGCCGACTCGCCTGGGTGGAGGAGGGCCCAAGGCTTGGCCCTTGAAGTCCTTCGACGAACGATGTCGGTCGGTTCGATGGGCATTGATGCAAATCCGGGCTGGTTGGGCCTTGGGCTGTGTGGGCTGGAGGACTATAGACCAACAAACCAACAAACACAACAACTGCAGCATGGAACATAATGTTTTAAACTTCTTGGGGCTCTCAAGTCTCCTCAGATGTGCACCGATGGCACCCACAGGTGCCATATGGAACAAACATGTTGGTCTGCATGCAGCCATGCCCCCAAATCCGTGGAGCCGCTTTCCGAAATAACCTCAGCCCCACCGGCTCTCCCCGCACGTGCGGTCACGTGTGGTCACGCGCGGTCACCGCCCGCGCTCTCCTGCGCAAAGGCGAACTCCGCCAGCTCTTGGCATCGCCGCAGCACCGTGTACCTGGAGATATCGGGGGAGCTGCGGTGGAAGCACCATCACTTTTGGTGGGTTTGGCAGAAGGAGATGTCGTATCACTAGAATTTACCTAAGGAATTGTAGTTCTTGATGCCAAGAGAATCCAACATATAAATATATATATATATGTCTAAGATCCCACACACTTCAATCGCCTGAATGCGCTTGCCCTTTAAAGAAAAGCTCAAGTGACACAGCATCCAGCCCGCGGTCTTGGACCTTTAAAACCTCAGGAAAGTTGAAAACCACCCAAACAATCCACATCCGGCCGCCCCATACTGGTGCAAAGTCCGTGTCCCAGTATGCAACCACACAGGTGTTGCAGCCTCGAAGTATACCTCCTCAGAAGGTTTTTTGAACCCTCCTGGCACCCTCTTCAAACGCCTTCTTGGAAGTACGACCGGGCCGCCAGCCAGGGATGAGTGCCTGTGTCTGGTGTCCGTTCCGTGTATGACCCTAACTACCCTTGATCTGCTTTCGTCCAGTGGCTCGGTGAGGACCGGCAAGTCTTCAAGGAACTCTGGCTGTAAAACCTGGGCGCATCACCGCGGTCCCCTACAGGCAGACAGGGCACCGCGGTGACTTTCTCTGAGATTGGTCGACTGGACTACAGTGACTACAGTTCGGAAGAACCGTACCTTTGGAAGTGGCGAATCATTTGCCGCGAGCAAGAATCAAGAATGATCGAGAGCCTAAAGCAAGCACAAAAGCAACAAAACACATGCAAGGAAACTAGAATCGGCATGCCTTTTGGCCCAATTCAGGAAATGAAACATGAATCTATAATGCATCCAGAAACCCACCAATTCTTGCTGGGTGTCCTTCGAGTATTTTCGAAAATCAGCACCACCGCGGCATCGCCTGCACAGGAAAAACGGCACATGGACCGCCCTTCTCGTGGAAAAGCACCAGGAGCTTCCAACAAAACACTGACTGCTGATCAGTAAGACACCCCACAGCAGCATAGTTTTACACATATCCATTTTGGGGCCAGTGACTTGCTTAGGTATTTTGGGGCCAGTGACTCTTGCTTAGGTATCGTTGCGATCTGCTGGGTTCAGCACCGTTACGAGAGTAAAACACACATGGAGACTACATTTAAAAAAAACGTGCTTGCGACCATCTGACCTTGAGTTGTTCTCAATGTTTTGTTCATCCCATCCTAATGTGCATCGGTTTCCCTGCACGACTGGTACCAGCCTGAGGGGTTCTCCTCCGGCGACAGTGCGGTGATCAAGGAACGGGCGACGTCCTCGGTAGCACGGGGATCTACACATGGAATAAGCAAATATATAGTGCCGTATGCGTGCGAATGGCTACAGGTTTTCTTGTGGCCCGGGCAAGCGGCGAAAGAGCATCAAGAATGGCTTCGCCGATAGGAATTAATCAGGTACAGTTCTTCCGACTGCTGACAGGGTCGAGCCCTAAAACCCCGAGTCACAACACAACCAATATAATGAGTATAGATTGGTCTAGCTTCCAGTTTGCCTCTTCCGCAAGGTCTCTGCGAGGTCTCCCTATGTTTCAACCAGACCTGTGGGGAATTTAGATGACATCAAAACCGTCTGCTGGTGCCACGTCGACACACCATCCACCGGTCCCTCTTCATGTCGGGCCAGTGGCATCCCGCGTGTTTCCGAAGTGGGCAGCGCCTCACAGGGCGGCAAGAAAAGAGAGACGGGCACCACCTCAGGGAATCCGAAGGTGTAGCATCCACACTCCTGGAGTAATTGGGCTATTCTGATTGTTATCCAGTGATTGCTGTGCATTGGTGATCAAAAGGATGAACAATCCCATACAAAACACTATAGAACCAAAGAACATCAAAGAACTATGATGAACTATGCTTTTGGTCGTGACCAGTGCTGCTGCTTGATGCTTAACGGAGGCAGGGAGTCTCTCTCCAACTCTTCAAGCTTGCATCAAATTGATGCCAGTCCTCTATTCATCAGATGCTCGAAGTATTGAAGGTCCCGCCGGTCCCGCATGTCGTGCAATTCAAAGTATACCAAAAGCAGGTCTTCAGTCTGTCGCAACATGTCGTTCAGCCACCAAAACAGGTGACACTCCCTGAAACAATCATGAACGTGAAAAGCCTTCGGCCCCATAGAAGATCATGTTATTCCTCCACACACCAGTGATTTTGCAATGTTTTGCACTTCCATGACTCAATCACACACTGTGTCACTGTGTTTTCTACATGTGCACACGCGACCGCCAGCATGTCGTCTACAACGCGCCTCGTGGCGACTTTGGCCAGGCATCTTTGGAGTCGCTGCCGCGGGCCTCGGAGCACCGCGCGCCAGACGCGGTTTGGGGAATGTGGGTCGAATCGGAACAACAGGTTGCAACATGTATTAACTGATATAACGTGATATAACTGATCGTATAACTGATACTAACAACTGATACTAACAACTGATATATCAGTTATATACTATATTGGTACTATTGGTGTTTGGATATAACTGTTTAACAAGTTACAGTGTGTTGTATAATGTTGTAGATGTGTGGGGCTTGAAGCCAAGGCTGCCTGACACCTCCTGAGGGGTTAGTATATGAATCCTTGTAAGTGCCAAGGTGCCAGGATGCAAAAAAGGATCTTTGCCTTCTGCATCGTCAATAGGTCATCGCCAGCCTAGAACCGTGTGCTGCAACGTGTCGCCCAAACATACTCGCACAAGAAGCATCAGTGTTCAGCACGGCGACCATTCTCCAAGGTTTGGGGCAAGCTAACAGCGACGACATTTGGCAGGCGTTCGCACCCCGTCCCGTAGAGGAAAACACACTCAGGGCCTTTCACCGTTCCACTTCCACCAAGAGAGGTTAAGTGACCTTATAGGACCTTACTGGGGTACCTATGATAGGCTATAGGGTCCGTCGACCTCTGTTCACATGCTTTTTGGGAGGCTCAACTTGATCAACAAATGGGCTTGAACTGAAGGGAACGGCCCAACGGCACCGTCCGAGGAGCCCCGTGGCGGGTCCCGCGCATGTGGGTGCTGCGCGGGCGCGGGCTCGCCCAACGGCGCAGGCGTCTGGAGCCTTGTGGCACAAACGACTTTCGTGGACAGTGAGCAGCCGATGACACACGTGACAAGTATTGCTATGATATGATTGATGTAACTCCACATAGTAACTCACAAAAGGGTCAATAGCAAGCCATCAAAATCACACGAACATGGACCTATAGCTACCAGAGCTGCGCAAATTGTATAAACAAAAAAACATCTAAAAAAAACACGTGTCACTCATTCAGTGTAAGTTGAACTGATACTGGAACCGCTTGAACCATCTCCAGTGGCCTCCGACTGCCACCCCCAGAGCCCATTGCAGCGGCCGGTCTGGCCGCTCGTTCGGCCGCCGCGGTGCGGAGTGAACGGAACGGCACGGGGTTCGGCGGCCCGGTGGCAGCACTGGAGCGCCAAGGCAGCGGCCTAGGTGGGTGAAACCCAAACGAGCAGCGTCCGAGGTCTGCGTCAGTCCGTCTGAACGGTCTGAACGTCACATAGACCCTGCCGAAAACGACCAGGCTTTACGATTTGGGTCATGTTTTCGGGCACTGTGTTGGCAGGGTATGCGCAAGAGATTGCATGAAGAAATGTACAATACGATAGGATGTTATATCATCACTGCTTTAGAAGTGGATGCCAGGAAAGGAATCAACAAATTATGCAGCTCGATCATGTTCAATCCATCAAAGTACAAATAACATATTATAATATATTATAATTGGTGCAAGTGCACTTATCCTGCATTGAGCTGGACAAATGCGCTTCTTGCTTTGTAAATGCAGTGCTGCTGAGGTCTCAGACTACCGTCTGGTATCGTCTGATCGTTCTGCTACAAAATGATTCAATCAACAACACAATAATAACTTGCAAACTGTCTCTATGAGGTGGCTTCTGGGAAACATGCGTGTCGAAGCTGCGCATGCGTCTTCGGAATCCACTCCACTTAAACCGGCTACGAGAAAGGAGAATCCTGCTGAAAAAAGGACACTTCGCAACACCGAACACCGGGCCACAGACTCATGCCAAATCCAAGAGCATCCTTTCACCAACCATCAGCTACCATCTGGGCTGGCATGGCTGATGAGTCCCATCTGCTTCTCATTCACCGGATCTGGTCAAGCCGAGCTGCACGAAGACCGCAGGGCCATAGGCACGGCTCCACGTGCACCGTGGCGACGCGCGGCATCAGCCCAGGAGTCACCAGCCCGTGGGAATCGGACCGAGACTTGGTCACAGTGAGACACTTCGGTGAGGTGAGCTGGGTCGCAGTGTGGTGAGCTTGGGCAAACATAGATGGATCCCACGACACAAAGAACCACAACAAGAGAGGTCGTGTCCAACGACAAGTAGACGACTATAGCTACTGGCCCCTCAAACAAGTTGGGACGCATGTGGGGCCTCGGAGATCTAGCTGCTTATGATTTGCCTGAGATGGAGGATGTAGGGATCTGCTTGCTTGTCGAATCTGCTTGCTTCGATGTTTGCTTCCCTCTTCAAGCTGTGAAGACTGCTGCAAAGCTGCGTCAGGGATCTGGGATGTCTCCGCTTCCAAAGAAGAAGCGCACCCAATCTCCATTTCTTCAAACTTGACCCCTTTTAGTTCAGCTAACTACTCGATTCGATACTAGTAGTCAATTCTCCGGTGCAACCATCTCCCCAAAGAAGGACGATCCATCTGCAGCTCTTTTCACCTTGACTCCTGAACCGCCGTTTGCCCCGGTGCCACCCGGTGGCGGCGTCAACCGGCGACCTGGCGGAAGCTGAGTCTTCCAGTCTGGTCCATGCCAAGCCATCAGGTTCCATGTGGGGCTGGGCTTGGCCCGGGTGTTGATGTAAACGGTGACCACGGTTTTGATGGAAGGAATCTTGTCACCCACACTAGACTCCAGGACTCCAGGACGTGGGTCTGGAGTTGTTTGAGCTTTGGAAGGAAGTCTTGTACCACTTAAGAGGCCCAAAAAGTGTGACAAACACCAGAGTGACCCTCTTACTGAGGTGTAGCAACATGTTTCTTCAGGAGTTTTTGGGGAGCAGGCTCCTGCTTTCATGTCAGCCTTATGTGATCAGCCCAGTCGATTTGAAGGAGGACAGCTCTGGAGCAATTCTAGAATTTGAGACTCTTTGGATGGAATTTGGAACCATTTTGGTATTACAAACGCATCGTAACACACCAAATGGTTCCAAATGCAATACACCAAATAGTTTCATTCCAAAGAGCCAGCCATGGTTTATGACCTACGGTTTGCAGTTTACCTTTTTGTTTGCCTGGCAAGCTCCCTCCGGTCGCAAGCCGCAGCTTTTTTGGCGCCTCCGACTTCTGCGAGTGCGTCTGTAGGACCCGACTTCTGCGAGTGCGCCGCCGAACCGGTGCTGGAATAAGACCTTCAGGTCAGCGTGGATCAGGTCACCTCTGCAACTTGAGTCGTTCCAACTCGACAATCCACATGGCAATGTTCGTTTCGCCTGGATCCTAGTTCTAATCGTCCGAATTTGCTTCTAAGTAATTGGGTTTGGGATTTTAGAAAAAACATGACGTTCAGAACGTGGTTCTCCGTCACGTTCTCCGACCTGGTATGTTTACGGGCATCTCCGACCTGGTGCGATGCGAGTTTACCAAGAGTGATAAAGACTAAAACTTTAATGAAGCTGATAAAAGCAAATGACTCATAATCAAAAGGAACTCTATAATATCTCTATATATATATATATGTAATGGGTAAATAGGGTTCTGATCCACTTCCATTTGGCCTTTAAAAGGTGCCATGGAAGATGGGTGTGTGGCACATGTTGGCTCATGCTCGCTCTTGCGGGCCCTGCTTTACTTTCGCTGGCCCAGCAATGGATGCCACCAAAGGGGAAACAAATCCACCCGGCACACACCGGGCTGTCCCACTCTGCAGCCTTCTGACAAGGAAAACTGCCAAGTGGAACAAAAGCTCCCCATCTTACAGCAAATCTCTCCTCAGCTGGTGGATGAGTTGAACGAATTGGCACAAATAGACATCTGCGTGTATGAAACTTGTTCTGGGAGTTGTTTGAATGGTTGAGCCAAATATGACTTATAGTGTGGCACAACAAAAAGTTCTATCCCAAATAGGACAACTGCAACACGCCCAAAACCGGTTTTCACCCGGTCGCAAGGCAGGTTCTTTCATGTTCTTTCCCACTTCCGGGCGACGAACCGTGCGACTGCTCTGCTGTGCTCTGTTGGCCATCTTGGCCTCCGAAAGGGTCTCGCAACTGCTGCAGCCGGGCCTCGACACTGATCGACGTTCCTCACTCCGTGAAGATGCGACAAACCGGCACAAGATCCACGCATCTCATCCCAAGCGCAGGACGGCGCAGGTGGACTGCGTTGGTAGTTGTACTTTCCGGATATCCTGCAGGTGGAGCAGGGAAAACGACCAAGGCATCAGACTGATTTCCCATAAAGGGTGATGAAGGAAGGACACCAAAAAAAGGACAAAGGTTCTAAACAAATACCCGTAACAAGCCTTTTGTGAAAGTCCAGCTAGCCTCTGACTCTAACTACTGAGGCCACCCAGCTCTTTCATGCCCAGTCACAGTCTGTTCACCCTCAGGCCCTGAAATGATACGGATAAAACCACAGCTCCTATCTGCTTCCTAGATGTTTCAACATGTTTTTCAACCACCCCACCCAGCTCATCCCAGCTCCATCAATCTTTTTTCTGGGTCGTTTTTTGTACGTGTTTTCCACCAAAAAAGAAAGCTCCTGTCCACTTGCTCTTGCGCCATGCGCGTCGCCATCTCTTCACTATTCACCTCCATGGCCATGGCCTCTAACTGCTCGTGCATCATGAAGCACTCGTGAAGGGAGCCCAGCAAGAGCAGGGAAAGCAACAGAAAGGCACCTGAGTGAGTAATAGTCGCATAAAGCTTTTGCAAACATAGCAGCAAATCTGTGCCTCTTTGCCTAGCGAAAGCGGGGATTCGCTCACGGTTCGGAAACATAAACATAACTCATCACAACTCAAACATCGCAAAACCAAGCGAACGGCATCTGGAGATGTCAGTAAAACTGAAACTGCTCTCAAAAGTTTACTAAATGGGTTCTCTTCACCCGAGTGGTCTCAACACCGGGTTTCACAGTTCAGAAGCCACTGACAGAAGCTGGTAGTTCAGAACAAAAGAAACAATCCAGGCCGTCACACCTGTTGAGACTGAGAGTTACCAATCCAAGTTGTCTTGGCCTTGGGATCTACACTCACGTGTCAACAACGTCATTCTTCTGACCAACAGGGAGTTAGCCTCTTCAATCGCTATTGGAGAGCACCTCCATGCAAAATGAGGATGGTCAATCAGAGACTCTAAAAGAAAAGGACTAGTGTATTCTTGCACTCACTGCTCAAGGGCGATGCACTATTGGGTTATAGGCACATCTGGCCCAACAATATGCCCATACCCCGTATCCAAACAATCATATACAATACATTTGATTCCTAGATATGAAAACAAATGAAACCATAATCATGAACATAGATGAAATATCTTGTGCTAACTTCCGTGTCTTCCAAAGAGGGTTCTGGCTGCAACGTGCCCCCAACAGGTTGTTTAACACATCCTTTTGAAGTGATCTGCTTGGGGAGATGTTTGATCTGGCATGAGAGCCTTTATACAAGCAGGAGTCGGCAAAATGATCGAACACTACATTGGAAAACCTTAGCCTTAGCAACTCAACTAAGCAGGGAAGCTACCCCCAACATGAATGGTGTTTAGCCATGTTTGGCTACAGCCAGTTCCACGGCCTGCTACTGTTCGTTTGAGGCACTTGGAAGATGAGACTCTTTGCTACGGAACGTGTGAGCTCCCAAGGAGCCAAGGAGCCAATGAGCCAAGGGTTGAGAATTCCAAAAGGCAAAGTCACCAGAGACTGCAAGCAATTGGAAAGTTTTCTTTTAAACATATCTTGATGGCTGCAATGGAACACCCCTGCACATCGCTGGGGCGCACAGCGAGGCACACTGCCGAGAGGCCGGCCGCGACCGCTACCGAGGCACACTTGCGCTTGTCTCGTGGGGTCTGAGGCCAAAGCGAACTCCACTGTGGCCACGTCGTTTCTGCGGCCACTTTCTCTAGTCGCTCCAGTCGGCGAAAGCACTGAGTGACTTGGTGCCACAGCAGCTGGCGGTCGGTGAAGAGGAGGATCGTGACGTAGATCACTGGAAGAAGCATCAGCACCATGAAAAGGGCCAGTAAGATGGTGTAGCCTTGGGACACGCGCAAACCTTCCTGTTGGATGGCTCTTTTGCTTTGATTTCGGCCATCCCCGGGTGCTATCCAGGACTGCCAAATGATAGTGAAACCACTGACCACCAGCCGAGAAGCAGTCACCAATCCAAGCAAGAATCACAAGTCCGAGCCAGAGTCGAAGGAAGTTGCCCCTCGCCGTCGCCATGCTCCAAATTTCGTCATTCTGAGGGATGCTGGAGATGATGTCCCAAGGCAAATCTACCATCGTTTGAGTTATCTCATTGAAGCTTTCCCGATCTGAAACCTGGCCACGGATGAAAAAAAGGCCCTCTCAAATCGGTCAACCGCAGTGCGGTCAAATAAGTCAAATACCAAACATCGGCTCGACATCGGCTCGAGCCGACGGGTGGATCTCCGCCCAAAACGCCAATGGCAAAAAGGGTGGACACATGGAGGTCGAACGCATTTCAGCATTTTGGGAGTCTGGGAGTGTCTGAAACGTTTTAGAAAAAAAGAAAAGGTGCAAATTGTTATTATTATTATATTATTTTTCATATTTTTTCTTTCTTACAACACTTGCAAAATCCGACAGTTTTGCAGTGCACGTGCAAATATTAACTAGTGCTTTTGGCTTTATTTCATGTCACTCACCCTGTACGTCTCATATGGTCTTCA